TTGTATAGTCGAGAGCTGTTCTAGTTAAAGCAGCTTTTCTCTCAAGCAAGGCGCTTCAACGTTCTCTCTACAAATAATACGGAATCGAAGTCAGTTTCAGCTCTAGCCACATTAGAAGTGGTGTCCTGACCTTGTGGAAACCATAAAGCCTCAAATCTTAAAAGATTCCATGATCCAACTCTCCACACAGCTGGTATTACAAAATTGTCAACTTTGCGATGGAGTATGTGCTTTAATCAATGCGATTTATACGGCCGGTTCTAAAAAAGCAAATATTAGGATTGGTCATTCTTTAAAAATAAAACGCTTTAAAAATAACAAAACTAAAATAAATATTATTTGCCAAACAATAAAAATTTAACCACGAGTGGCGTGCTAATACTGCCAATAAAAACTTTGTAATCTGTAGCGGGTTGCTACGCTAATAAGCCTTGAGTTATGCTCAGAAATCTCTAGGTGGTGCACCCTGGGCAACGTATACTCATACGGCAAACAAGTCTATTTACCGGCAGTTGACTTCAAACTACCATGACACCGCTGTATGTCACATTTGATTACTTTCACATTACTCGCCTCACCTTTTTTGTACCTTTGTGTCAGTCTCTTTTACATCTTTGAAACAATCTTCTTCTCCACCCCTCCCTCTCGACTTTTTCACTCTGATGTTCCTTCCCTCTGTGGAGCCTGAACCCCACTAAAGGGCTAATGATAACTATCAAAACGCCTGCCATTTGATATAAATAAATAAATGTTTGGAAAGGCTCCGTGGATTAGATAAGCTACCGCAAAGCTATAGGGGAAACTGACGTATCACGTGAGGCACTTTTATTCAGGATATGAGTGAGTGGGTGAGTGTACAGACCACGTGATTAGTCATACATTAATATGGGTGGATTGGATAAACCAAGCGAGAACTATTGATTGGTGGTTGGCTGTGTGATCATTGTACTCACAACCGCACTAATCCCATGCAAAGTTGCATCCACACCTTAAAGCCTGTCTTGGCATGCATGGGACGTCTTGTCCAGCGGTGACAACGGTGTGCGCCTAGCAAACCCTTTAATTTTTCCTACGATTTTGGTAGATTCCATTTTGAATTTATCAAATTTGGTCATAAAATAATCAAATGACCATTTAATGCTGAAGATGAGGGTCTTTAAAAACAGAATATCCCGGTCATGTGTTTTTTTTCATGTCAGACCTAGATGACGTTAGTAATCCAACTGCTTATATACACGTCTTTTGTTTCAAGATAGAAAGTTCCGAATTGCTATTTCAATCTCTCTTGGTTATTAACTATGATACTGCTGTCTCAACCCTGATAGTGATATATTTTGATATCAAATTGTCGATCCCACATACCCACTCCTCCCTCTTGTGTCAATTAATGCTGTTGCGTTTTGACCGCCCCTGAGTCCAGACGCTTGAAGACTCAAAAGAGCGTCGATCGAATCTGCTCGTGCAAGTAAAGGCTAGGCGTTTCTGGTAGGAGTGTTACACAATGAATATTGTACCTGTGAAGGCTCACATTGACAACGACTTGGTTCCCCACACTTTTCTATCAGGCCACTCTTCAAATTTGGGGAGTAGGATTACTATGTATGATAAATGCTATCCCAACGGAATGAGTGCAGTTTGGATTGTAATAGTACAACTTTTTTTCCCAGAGGACTCTTACCACAAAAGAATATACTCTTATTTTCTGTGAGGTTATTTTCGGAGCGAACTATTATTTTAAGGTCATTGGAACATTTCATATGATGTTGCTATGAGTCCAGTCATTATTTCGTGGAATCGCTTAAGAGAAGGAGCGGTATACAACAAGGTTTGAGGAAAGTAATTTCTCTCTGAAGATGACATCGGAATCGCCTTCCGATCCTAAGGCAAGTATTAACAACACTCCGATTTAACTACCAACATTACTTAATTATCATAATAAATAATGATCAACTTGATAAAAATATATATATAATTATTAAATGTTGATAATAAAATTAACGAGAGAAAGAATGAAGTTTACTTTAATTTTTCAATTCTTGATGTCTAGCATCAACGATATTTATGCTTTTATTTTGGATACATTAAATAAACAATTAGCCGAAATGCATACCAATTAAAATACGCAAAGGTAATAAGAGACCACCTAATCTACGCCACTTATATATGTTTTAGCAGGACCGAGAAAACTACCCGGATCCGTTTCAAGATATATCAAATTTGGAAAATTTATTTTCGGTATTGAAACATTTTTTTATATAACTAGAATCAACCTTTAATAGCCTTTTTTAAATGCTATAACTCGATTATTGTCTTTTTTTAGGATCTTTCATGCGAAATAACAGATTGCTCTGTTAGGCCAGCCTTATTGAAGAATTCGTATAGGATTGAAGATGAAGTAAGATTCCATCTTGCAAATACCTTCCATCATTTCGCAACCCCCAACCCCCCTTTATTCAATTTTAGCAATCCGAAGTTGCTCTAAGAAATGTTTGGAGAAAAGTTAGAAATTGTGCGGTTGCAACTCAATATCATTTGGAAAACGCCGCTGGATATTCTCAAGTAAGTTGTAAACTATTTTACGATGCGAAGGCATACTATCTTGGCGCTAGCTGTACATGAACTCTGAAAAGTAGGCATAAATACTTGTCAACATTTAAATAATTGTAATGATAGTCGAACCGAATCAAAGCACGGATATTCTCTTTAAAGTTCAATTGGCTTGAAGGCTAAAGGGGAAACAACTTTTCCCTGGTCAGAACAAAGACAGTGGAGATGGACCAGCGTTTCATTGGGTCTTCATAGGCTAGAGTAATGCCAATTGTTAAATAAATAAATAGTAAGTTAGTAGTTGCTGCTTTACAGCCACAATTTAGATAGGCAAGGCTTAAGTCAAAACCACTCATGACTTTGAATGGGTGGGATTTACTAATATTCTCATGGCAATTTGGATAACGATTTGAGGCGTTGTCATGAAATTCACTTTCATTTTATTCTCTTTATATTCTTTCCCCCCTTAAAATGAAATGGATGAAATAACATTTAAATCTCTATTTCTGATTTCTGATTAGGGTGGATGCAATTGGGGGGGGGATATTTTCGTCTCTTTCAGAAAAGAAACGTCTTCATGTTACAGGCATTAAGTCAACTTGTACTTCCACACGTCTAGAATGAAGTAGAATTACTCAAAATGTCGGCTTAGATGAAGCTATCAAATTAGACGAATGCACAACTTTCAAGCACCAAGTTGGAGAAGAGGTAGTAGGATTTTATCCGTCATATTTATTGTCCAAAGCATTTTACCGATCAAAAGGTATTATATAGAACACAACTACATTTTCCCTTCATTCGAGCATTCACTAAGGTTAATTGTCTACGACTTGTCCAATTTAGCCCGTATTGCCTGAAAATTCTTCTGAAGGTAGATTAACATTGCGATTTCGTTCGAATTAATTCAATTTTCAATAATTCGAGAGGGGAAAAAGAATATGAATGCGTACAATTTATTAATTTCATTAAAGGAAATCGTATTTAGATGCATTTTTAGTCCATTTAATTCTGCAATAATCTAAAAAAGTAATAAGTAGTAAATTTATATATTTATTTATATCAAATGGCAGGCGTTGGGATATTTATCATTAGCCCTTTAGTTGACTTCAGGCTTCACAGAGAAGAAGGAACATCAAAGTGAAAAAAAGTCGAGAGGGGGAGGGGGGGGGGGAACAGAAGAGTATTTCAAAGATGTAAAAGAAACAGACACAAAGGTAGAGTGAAAAAGGTGAGGTGAGTACTGTGAAAGTAGTCGAATATGACATACAGTGAGGTGATGGTGTTTTGAAGTCGGAAGTCAACTGCCGAATAATAGACTTGTTTGCCGTATGAGTATACGTTGCCCAGGGTGCACCACGTGGAGGTAAGTCTATCACACACCCCATAAGTAGTAAATTGATTATTGTTTTATACAAATTGTCAAAGAGACAAAAATAGAATAGGAACTCAAACCGATCTAGTTGCAAATTATGCTCGGAATAGTAATTTACTATAATTGGTTAATATTTTAGTTCAATTTCAAATGTGCTCGTCTTCAATACCTACTGGGTGAATTTTGGGATACTACTCTGATTGAAGCTGATCAGTTTATCCAAAATAATTCCATTTATAATTTGAATAATGCTCGAAATTTTGGTAAATTCTTGCAAGTACGTGTTTACCTTTCTTATTTTTTCCATTTTTAATATAATTTAAATCTTGTTATTTCCAATTTATTTCTACTTTATTTAGGCAAAGCTTATTGAGGTCAAGAAATACCTCCACGAACTGAACCGACTTTGTATTAAATCAGAGTTGATCACACCTTTGCGAAAGTCGGTTCACCCAAATGAGTTCACTGACCCGATCAGGGGAGTTATTTTGTGTGATTTTTGGGACGAAGTAAAGAACATCTACCTCAGACGAGGTCAGAATGTGAAGATAATCAGAACAAATCTGAGTACATCCGGATCAGGAAATGTTCACGTAATCCGGTTGGAAGATTATGGGAAAGAAATTGTTGTTCCCTCGGTATACATTGGTCTAACAGAGTGTGATCATGAGAGTGTCGAACTGGCTGCTAAGTAATGTGATTAACTTTTAAATATTGTTTTCTTTTTAGCATGCATGATAGATTTCTAGACACCTGGAGCAAAGAAATCGATAAGTGGCTAGTTATAGCAGTTACACTTTTGGAGCATCTTCTCGATTTGATGACAAAAGATGCGGTAATCTCAATTTCGAGTTTGAAATAACAATTCTCTCATCATTTAGGTGGTTTCTTTCGAGGACCACAACATGGTTATCCACCTTTTAAATGAAATTGAGCTCGCATTCCCACGGAGAGAAGGCTCAGTTATAAATGACAATATTTTGGATAAAATTAAACTTGTGAGAGCGAAGTGTATGGACATTGATACAGGTAAAAGTGCTCCATTTCCGGCATTTTCTTTTCTAGATGAGCGACGGATTCCAGAGGAAAGGAAGAAGATTGATCGCGAGAACATTTGCGGTTATCTCTCTGTTATGAAGAATTTAAAGGTAAGTTGTTTTAATGCTTACTGAATAAAGCAAAGAAAGTCGCTTTCATTACATTCTTTCCAGTAGTATGCCAATTGTATACCCTAATAATTGACTGATATATGCAACTATATATTCTCCAACTCTATCCTTGTGCATAATACTGAATCAGATAATATATTAAATGTGAAAAAATAGAATCCAAATTTCATAAATGAATAGCTCTCATTGTCTATTATTAACTGAAAAGAAATTATTAGAGCTCAAGTAGTACTCAGCGAATACACTTAGACTGATAACTGTCACAAAGTTGACCTCTAAAAGGCAATTACCGGTAGTATCTTACTTAATATCGCAAACATTGCTTGAAATGGCTGCTACTAAGCATTACTGCATTTATCGAATGGGATAAGTAAGAAATGATTAGTCGTTGGTAATTTCATCACAGTAAAAAAGGTATTGTGGAATCCTAACTTTTATGACCCTTCAAGGTGAAAAAATTGCGATGTTGGAAGCTTACGAACAACTTAATGACAACTTAATCTTTTAATAAAGATGGGGAATGAACTCAGTGGTGTGAAAAAAACCAGTCATTTGTGCACTACTTTAGATCACATTTATTATGAATACTATGGTTATTTCTATCAACAGTTTGCTCAGATAGAGAGGAGGTATATAAAAAAAGGAATTAATCAATCCACAATCTGTTTCGAAATGTCAAGCGTGGTTTGCTATCCAAGTTGTGTTTTTAAAAGGGAAAGTCTCTTTGGAAGGAGATATTAACTATAAGCTTGTTTTTACAAATAACAGTGAATTAATGAATGAATATTCAATAAAAATTGACTTCATTTAAATTATTAAGGAACACATGCGTGCCTTCAATTATGCAAAATCCCACCCACATAGCGAGAAGAAGACAGTTGAATGGAACGTCGAGCCAATTATGTAAGTCATTCGAATATGATCACTCACTTTCGAACATTTAGGAAAGAGAGTGAACATCTAGTATCCGCCGTTGAAAAACTAGCTACTGAGTTGGAAAGAGTTCGTAATGAACTAGTCTCCCTTTCAACGGTTAAGGATTTGCAAACTCAAATTCGTGACCATGCTTCAGCAACATTGTCACAATTATCTAACTCAAATCAAGGACTCCTCGAGGAACACAGTAGTCATATTCGAAAGTCCATAATTGATATGCAAAATATCATGAACGAAGCCGAGTTCATGAACACTACGGAAGGCGTTACAAATCCGATATTCAAGGTCTGTCCCCAGTGTAAGAATAAGGTGTATACTGGATATGTACACGAGCACAGTAGCAAAACAATAACCGAAAAGAGTACGTTTAGTGACATAAAGAGGGTCGTAAAATGTGACGAAGGAATACAAGTCAATATTCCGATGGCGTGTACTCGGGTCGGGTCTTTGAGTTCGAAAGGAAAAAAAAAAGAAGAGGCCGAATATGAAGAAACAACTACAACAACAACTGTAACAACGCATGCTAAAGTGAAGAAGGTAGTTGTGGAGTCCACCAAACCTAGAAAAGGTAACTACGTTGTGAATCTGAATATACCTGGACCTCAAGTACTACCCAATGTCGATGATTCAGAAGTCGCTGAAGAACCTTTATACATAAGTGAGTGTGAAGTTTTACCTATTGTCGCTTCAATTCCTTCGACGATTTATGCAAGTTCAAATGGGACGGAGGTACATTCAGTGGAAATGTCGATCGAGAGCGAAGGAAAAATAAAGCCTAGAGATAATAAACAAAACCTAATGGATCCATTAGTTGTTAATAAATTCAAATCAACTGCGGTTTATAGCTCATTATCAATAATAGGATCTGAAGAAAAGGGAACAAAGGGGAAGGAAGTATCGAAAAATTTGAAACATAGCACTTCAGAAAGAGGAATTAAAACAGAAATCAGTTTAAGTCGCCAAGATATTGAGGATATGGGAAACAAAGCAGTAACGGAAGCAACACAAACACCGACGCCAATCAAATGCAACTCGGCTACACAACTAGGCAATACAACTACACATTCAGAAAATCAAACCAATGATATGGACCTAACAAATAACAAAATTGAGTCGACAGTTTATAACTACCAAAATTCACAAACAAGATTAGAAGAAAGAATAATAAAGGAGAGGGGAACTTCACCGATTGTGGAATCAAAGCGAATTTCTGTTTCAACCAGCACTGACTTCACGGAGGAACGAATACTCCCTATGGAAGTACAGAAAGTGCATGAAACTCCAAGATCGAGATCTTATCCTCCCAAATCCACAGCAACTATGTGCGCCTTGGAGTTGGACAGGGTTGGAATTACGAAGGATGACATCGTTGGTGGGGACGAAGTGAGGAAAGCGAGTATTCAAGCCATTGGTAGAAGTGACGTGACTTACCTATTTGCCACTGATGTGGCTAAGACGGTGATTAAAGGAAAATGCCTACAAACAGCCAAGCTGCCTGCCTATGATACTGGTGATGTGCACGTTGACGTCGTCGATGATGAGGCGATTGGGCGCTCAGGCGGAAGAAGTGTTGTGAGCAAGTCCACGGAAACGCTTCGGAAGATGAGGAGCAGTGGAACAGACGCGATGCCTGACATGATTCTTCGTACCGCGAAGGGTCAAACCTTAAGTGTTGCTCCCGTTGTTTCACGGGCAATGGAGTTGCCGCAGGAAGTGGCAATCACTGAATCGATAGCGAACGACACCCACACTGCTCTAGTTCAGACCACGTTACCATTGCCTCGTGGTCCGAATCTCGTTTCGACGGCAGTGATGCCCTCAGTGGACATTATAGAAAGGTTAGTGAAGGAGTGGCTTATGCGGAGAGATGAGTTGCCATTCGAATCAGCCGATTACGCTGCTCTGCTGCGAAAGCGCGAAGAAGAAGAAATGGAGAGGTATAGGAAGCCGGCAACTGAGGTTGTCCGTAAGACAAAGGAGCGTGGAGTGAGGACAGTGAGGGAGAAGAGGCTGAGATTGTTCCACCTAGAGACACAAGTGTCGCCTATTTTGGTGACTGGAGAGTGCCAGACAATTGGTCTCAAGGTGAAGGAAACTTCGATGGAGACGCAAAATCGAAGAGTGGCTATTGAGACGAGCACACAAACGTGGAGTGAAGACGTGGTCATGGAAAGGTTAGTGGCGGTGGATAATGCGGCGATGTTTGTTGAGGATAGTTCCAGCGTAGGCGTGAGGCTGTGTTCCACGGCGATATCGTCTGCCCAGGCAGTTAACGCCACCGAGGACATGGTATCGAACGCTGCCACGAAGGGCGACGAAGTCTACGCGGTGAGCAGATTGGGTCGTGAGAGTGTTGTGACAGTTTCTACGACTTTGGACGGGACCAAGCCGCAAGAGGCCATCACAGCGTATACAATGAGGACAGGAAGGATAAAGGAGAGGGGCACTTCACCGATTGTGGAATCAAAGCGAATTTCTGTTTCAACCAGCACTGACTTCACGGAGGAACGAATACTCCCTATGGAAGTACAGAAAGTGCATGAAACTCCAAGATCGAGATCTTATCCTCCCAAATCCACAGCAACTATGTGCGCCTTGGAGTTGGACAGGGTTGGAATTACGAAGGATGACATCGTTGGTGGGGACGAAGTGAGGAAAGCGAGTATTCAAGCCATTGGTAGAAGTGACGTGACTTACCTATTTGCCACTGATGTGGCTAAGACGGTGATTAAAGGAAAATGCCTACAAACAGCCAAGCTGCCTGCCTATGATACTGGTGATGTGCACGTTGACGTCGTCGATGATGAGGCGATTGGGCGCTCAGGCGGAAGAAGTGTTGTGAGCAAGTCCACGGAAACGCTTCGGAAGATGAGGAGCAGTGGAACAGACGCGATGCCTGACATGATTCTTCGTACCGCGAAGGGTCAAACCTTAAGTGTTGCTCCCGTTGTTTCACGGGCAATGGAGTTGCCGCAGGAAGTGGCAATCACTGAATCGATAGCGAACGACACCCACACTGCTCTAGTTCAGACCACGTTACCATTGCCTCGTGGTCCGAATCTCGTTTCGACGGCAGTGATGCCCTCAGTGGACATTATAGAAAGGTTAGTGAAGGAGTGGCTTATGCGGAGAGATGAGTTGCCATTCGAATCAGCCGATTACGCTGCTCTGCTGCGAAAGCGCGAAGAAGAAGAAATGGAGAGGTATAGGAAGCCGGCAACTGAGGTTGTCCGTAAGACAAAGGAGCGTGGAGTGAGGACAGTGAGGGAGAAGAGGCTGAGATTGTTCCACCTAGAGACACAAGTGTCGCCTATTTTGGTGACTGGAGAGTGCCAGACAATTGGTCCCAAGGTGGCTGTTGAGACGAGCTCACAAACGTGGAGTGAAGACGTGGTCATGGAAAGGTTAGTGGCGGTGGATAATGCGGCGATGTTTGTTGAGGATAGTTCCAGCGTAGGCGTGAGGCTGTGTTCCACGGCGATATCGTCTGCCCAGGCAGTTAACGCCACCGAGGACATGGTATCGAACGCTGCCACGAAGGGCGACGAAGTCTACGCGGTGAGCAGATTGGGTCGTGAGAGTGTTGTGACAGTTTCTACGACTTTGGACGGGACCAAGCCGCAAGAGGCCATCACAGCATATACAATGAGGACGGGAAGGATAAAGGAGAGGGGCACTTCACCGATTGTGGAATCAAAGCGAATTTCTGTTTCAAGCAACTCTGACTTCATTGAGCAGCCTACACTCCTATCGGTAGTCCCTATATTGAATAGTGCTCCTAGAGGAAGAAGTGTTGTGTGCAAGTCCACGGAAACGCTCCGGAAGATGATTAGCAGTGGTACAGACGCGATGCCTGAAATAATTCTTCGTACTGCAAAAGGTCAGACTTCAATTGTTTCTCCTTTTGTTTCACCCTTAATCGAATCTGGCGATGATATTTTTTATAGATGCTCTCATTGCTATTCCGATTTGATATCCTTTATGCGAATAGAAGTTTTTGATATTGGTGTTCAGTCTCATTAATTTATAAGCCCTCTTTTATTGTTTTAGGTACCTCTGTTTCTGAAGATTTCTTCTCGTCCTCTGGAGATGTTTTCTTTGAAATTGCTAGTCCCTTTGAGCCTGATGCACTAGCTCTTCCGAAGCATATTTCTGACGAAATTCCATCGCTTTCATTTGCGTCTAGAAATATTGTTTCTAAGGCTATTTCCTGTTCTCCCATATCTTCTGACATGAAAGATATTGGTATCCAATGTTTGCCGTATTATTTCAAATCCATAGGAACTGTCACATTGTCTGTTGAACGGGATGGTGCTTATACCGACCTGAAGCTTACGGTTGATGAAAGCAGCGTTGCTCAATCTCCTTCAGGAAGTAATATCCAGCAAGATTTATCGATGCCCTATCAAAATACACCACTCAGAGATTCGGTCGTCAGCAGTAAAGCAATTCATCAGCCTCAAGTTATGCCGAAGTTGACAAACACAGCATCTATGACTGCCAAAAAATTAACTGATATTTCATGTAAGATAATGCGCTTCGAAGATAATGATTACAATGCTCTTATACGTCACCGTGATGAAGATAAGGCTTTAACAGAATTGAAATCGGACCCAAATTCTTTTAGAATGTTAACTGTTGACTCCTATTTCCAAACGGAATCTACTGTGTTAGCAATTGCATCGCAGTCAGTGGAGTTAGTCTCCGGCAACGTACGAAGAATGTCTGCTCAGACAGGCGAAAAGAATTTCCCTGAAGCTCAACTTAAGAAGAAGATGAAAACTAAATGTGTAGGCGTCAGTTGTCAAAATGAATTATCACCAAACATGATCTTTGCAGCAGTTCAAACGTTAGATTCTCGTTTACCGACGTGTATTGCTGAAGAGTCACCGCTAATTCAAACAGTTGCAACTTCCGAAATAATTGAAAGTAACTCTACAGTGGTCAATGCAGAAAGGTGCTCTATTACTAAATCACCACCTTTAAGGCTTATTTCTACTGCATTGATGTCTGCCGAGTCAATTCGTGAGATAGGTCAATTTCCATCCGTCTCTGAAACTAGAACAATCCCAACTGATTACAATCATCCAGCAGTGAAGAATAAAAAGTTGCTAGTAGATTTGAGCAGTGATAAGAATTCCGAAATGGAAGAGATGGAAATGCCGGAGTCCCTAATTGGACCTTTATCGACGGCTAAAGAAATTAAGGAGTCAAGTTCCTCAATAACTTCTGCGCCGAAATTTATCACATCTGAGACACAGTTCTCTCCACTGACTTTAAATGTCACTTGTCAGACAATTGATAAGTCTCAAGGCCATCAAGATGCAGAGCCGAATGACGTCTTAATTCCCACAGAGGCTGCTCCTTATAAATCTAACAAAGAGGCATCTATGGATCGCTGCGAATATATTTCGTCAGCCATGATGTCCTCTAAATTAGTTTATGACTCAAGTAGTGCCTGCCAATTATTGGAATTCAAAGATATTGGAACTATCCCTACAAAATCCCAATTAAATGAATTGTGTACAATCAAAGTTCAAACAGAATGCTTATTAGCAGATTCACTATGTCAAACAGAAACAACAGAATCCAAGATCAAACCAATCACGATTAGAAGTGCGAAAGAGGATGAAAGGTCCGTTGAATCTCACAATATCATGGCAACTGATGTGGTTCAAGAACGTGAAGCTGAGCCGGTAAACTTCGCTTTCTTACAACCTCGTGAAATTAAGGAGAAAGGTATTTTAGTTGGTCGATCTCCTACTTTACCTGAATCATCACAAACCACAATCAAACAATTTTCTACTGCTGTATCTACGGGAATTTTAGTTGTTAAATCTGAAGTAATTATTCCGAATGAAAGAACTTGTAAGGTGAATATGAGTGAGCTCGATAAAGGTTTTTTGAGAAATTTGAAAAACAAGAGCATGATGACAGAAACGAAGGAAACAAATGTGAAAGTCTATGAATATTGCAGTTCATCTTTGTCGAATTCAAATGATGATGCACCTATTTCGACTTCATCTACTTTCGATATGAAGCAACAATCCTCGTCACAATTTGCAACAAAGGAGTCGCTTTCTACACCTTATAATCTTACATCGACAGCTACCATGACTGTCAAGCAGTTGAAGACGGATGATATGTCTACTTTCGGTGTTACTGAAGACTTTGAAAAATTATTGATTGAACCTCTAATAAGACGTCGTGTTGTAAATAAATCTATGGGAACTGTCGACAAGTTCGTGGAAGCAACTCATAAGACGAAAGAGAGTGGAACTAATGCTGTACCTGAATTGCCACTATCAACTGCTAAATCTCAAACTTTGATTGGTTCAATCGACGAGATACAAAGAAACGTCCATCCAGACATTAAAACAGCTATTGTTTCAGCTCCTAGTAATGCTACTCCATTGCCAGTTTCCGAGCAGGTTTCTATTGGCGTGCAATGCTCTAACTCTACAGTCACCGATGCACAATCAGACACTCGAAGCAAACCAATGACACTTGATTTTGAATGTCAGGCATCATTACCTATTTCCCCAGAATCTATGCAAGCAACTTCACAAGAAAGTGAGGATATGCTTCAGGCTACCGTGTCTGCAGAGGTTAGCTCAATTCCTATAGATTCACACAGTTCGAACCCAATGTCAAGTAACAAAATGGTTCCTACAGCAACCATGTCTTCAAAGATTATTTCAAATCAAAAGGAGAATGTAAGTGTAATTCCGCCCATTAAATCAACTATTAGTACCAATGAGGCGGGAATTTCTCAACAACTACCGAAACTTAGAAACAAGAGCTTGATGGTTTCCCTCGCGATTTCTGATGTTAATCATGGTGGCAACGAACACCAAACAAAACAAACAGAGAAACCACGGCAGTCGGAATTATCTGAGGGTTTGCAGGCCACTAATGCTACCATCAGGAAACTAGCACACTGCGGAACACAGTGTGAGCTTACAGAACATATACTCAACCAAGATTCGTTCCAATATTCAGATAGCATCAAAGAATTTTTGAGTGAGATTACTTCACCAACTAGCACTAATTGTGCATATTCCTTAGAATCGCTTCTCATGCCTAACCTTCCAAAAGACTTAAATAGCGCATCAACAGGTACTATGACTGCCGATAAAGTAAGGAATCAAGAGGAGGACAATAAAGACAAGAAGTACAAATTCGAAACAGCTCAACAAGACATGGGAATCGAGTTAATCCCAAAAATGGAGAACTTCGAGGAGGATCACAAACAGCAAATCAAAAACAAGAAGTTAATGGTTTCGTTAGAAAGAGAGGAAGTTAAGACAAAGGAAGTTCAGGTTAGTGCACGCACAGTTTGCACAGAAAGCCAAACAGCTGTGGAAGTTAAAGATGAGCGATCAGAAGTAAGCTCCTCAGATGAACTGGGACATGTATATGCGGACTTCGGCCCCACAGACTTTGTCAGTGATCAGTCATCGAAATCTCCCACTAGACAGATTGATTCCGCCACCCAGTGTTCCGATTCACCTTCTCAATCTTCGTATCGTATGTTGTCTGTAGAAACACAAAAGCAGGATCAATTCGAGGCGAAGGATTCGATTGAACAAGTTGTGTCTGAAAAATT